CGATCACCGTTGGTGATGCGCTCAAGGCGAAGCTCGGCATAAAGTGCGACGATTGCGTAGTAATACAGATCGACGCCCTGCTGACTACGGTCCGACGGGAGTGCGGCTGAGAGTCCACGGTAGGCAGAGATGCAGGCCGGCGGAAGCTGCAGTGGTGAAACCATTGGTGCAGCATGTCGCCCGTACAACATTCAGGGCCAAGACAGCGTTGCGGACAAGGGTACTACAAGTACCACGCTTCTGACAAAACATTACGTTTTCATCAAGTACATCATGAGCGACCCGGCACTCCTCTTCCTTCCCAGCCCTTTCCAGGGCCGCAGGAGATGTGACAGGAAAGAAAGTGGCTTTCCTCCTTCCCCCCTTCCCAACCCTAGAAGCGACCGTCTGGCGGCGTCAGGAGGGCCCGCGTCCCAAACCGCGCACGCGCCGGCGCGCCCGCGAGCGGGCGCGGACAGGGTGCCGCAGAAGCGGCTGCGCGAGAGTGAGAGAGATTGAGAGAGGGAGAGAGAGAGAGAGAGAGAGAAAAAAAAGAAAGAAAGAAAGAAAGAGGGTTACATATATCCATATACTTATACGACCACCCAGCGGGTGATAAGGAGGTGAGGGGGGAGGGGGAACCAACGTCTCACTCAATCGATCTCGCTATCGATCTCACATTCGATATCATTATCGATCTCACTATCGATCTCGCCATCGATCTCACTATCGATTTCACAATCGATCTCACAATCCATCTCACATTCGGTCTCACATTCGGTTTCACTGTCGATCTCACTTCCGATCTCACAATCGATCTCACAATCCATCTCACATTCGGTCTCACATTCGGTTTCACTGTCGATCTCACTTTCGATCTCACAATCGATCTCACAATCGATCTCACATTCGGTTTCACATTCGGTCTCACAATCGATCTCACAACCGATATCACTATCGATTTCACAATCGATCTCACATTCGGTCTCACTATCGATATCACAATCGATCTCACAATCGATCATCGCCATCATCAACAGCATCATCATCACCATCATCATCGTCATCATAATTATCCACAGCATCATCGGGACACCGACGGGACACCAGCGGGACACCGGCGGGACACCGCGGGGCCCCGGCCGCCTGGAAGGGAATCATTTGGTCCGGCCGCGCCTCAGCCACACGGGACACCAGCGGGACACCGGCGGGACACCGCGGGGCCCCGGCCGCCCGGAAGGGAATCATGTGGTCCGCCGCGCCTCAGCCACAGGAGACTTTCTCTCGCCCGCCCACGCAGCTTCGCCTCGCCCGCACGGCACGCACGAACACGAAACCGAAATTTTCCTGGTAGGGGGGCTCTCCGTTCCACTTCGATCTCACCCCCTCACCTCCGATATATATATATAGATATATATATAGAAAGAGAGAGAGAGGGATAGAGAGAGAGAGAGAGAAACAAAACAAAGACTAGGAGGAGAGGGGGAGCTGGAAGGAGGAGGAAGACAAAGAGAGAGAATGATGACCGTAATCGTGGTGATTGTAATCGTGATGGTGGTGGTGATGATGATGACGATGGTGTTGATGGTGGTGGTTGTGATGATCCGGGCGGGTGCGGAGCTGGGGGGAGAGACGACGGACGGGAGGAGGAGGAGGAGGAGGAGGAGGACGAGGAGGAGGAGGAGGAAATGGATAGGGAAAGGCAGTGGGCACAGAACAGGGGGATGAGAGGTTTGTCGTTTCGGAGGGAGGAGGGGGGAAGAGTACGGAGGAGGAGGAGGAGAAGGAGGAGGAGGAGGAGAAAGGAGGGGGGAGAGAGGAAAGAGAAAAGGAAACAGGAGGAAGCAAGAGGATATGATAATGGCAAGGAGGAGGAAGACGAGGCGGAGGAGGAGGAGGAAGCAGGAGCTGGGAGGAAGAGGAGACGGAATAAATCTCACGAGGAGAGCGATAATGAGACAAGAGGGGGTTTTGATCTTTGATAAATTTGGGGTTCACTGTCAGACCGTCGCAGTGCAATGCGAAACACACGATGCGCAACGGAAGCGCCAGATGAGGGAGCCTGCGGGCGAAAGGCCCTGACCCAGACGTGAAATCACGCCTGGTGGAGGAGGAGGGCATGGGAGGCTCGAGTACCCAGTGGGCGAGCGCCAACCCAGCCTGGAAACGGGGAGCGAGGAAAGGGGACACACCGCTGAGCACCAGGAGCAAGTACGTAGGCGTGAGGCAGCTACCTGCGTGCCAAATGCAAACGCAATAGGGCACCCCAGAAATCCAGTGCTGCAATGCAAGACTGGGCGGATGCGTGAGCACAACATGGGACGCTGATGGCCCTTTGGGAACGCATCTAATGAACACATTGAAGAACCCACTGTTGGCTCGCGTTACGGGCCAAACATCATCTTGCACGATATGAGAGCCTGAAGATGCGGAATGCCAAGGTCCCCCCTTCAATGCCTTGTGGTCGTTGGGCAGGGGCTTGGGAAGCATCGCGCACGGGCACGGAGGCCTCTCATTGTCTGGCAACGCGCCAGATTGGACGGCACTCGCGTGCGAAAGTCCAGCCAGCTTCGCCTGGAAATGCGTTGATGTCACCGTCACGCCGCTCCTGCTGATCTTTCACGTTTGCAACATGTTCCCCTGGCAGCAGTGAAGATGAGACGGGGCGCTCAGCGCGCCCCACAGCACGAAGACTGGGCTGTGCATCGGCGTAGCTACGGGACAGCACCGGCCGAGTGTCCAGCTGCTCCTGCCGCAGCTGCTCCTGCTGTGTGCCGAGCTGGTCCTGCTCCGAACCCGCTGCGCCAGGCCCGAGGGCGCGAGCGTCGGCAGCGCACATGCGCCGCTGGGAGCGAGGGGGGATATTGAGTTGAGGCTACCTCAGGCCGTCTTGGGTGCATCTTGGGCCGTCGTGGAGGCACATTGGGGCCACCTTAGCCGTCTCGGAAGTCACCTTGGGCCATCCTGGGAGTTGGTCTGCCTCCGCTCGCTCGCCGACTTCGCGCGTCGCACCCCCAACGACGCCATCGCCGGCTGCCCGCCCCCCCGACGCCACCGAGCCCGACCCGGGGGCGGTCCCCGGAGGCAGGCACGCGGAGGCCGAGGGCAGCAGCTCTGGCGAAGCCTACAGGCAAGCAGGATCGCAAGGATGCGCGACAGGGCTGCAAGGGCCCCGGACGCCCACTTCGAAGCTTTTCGAGCGGGGCGCGGCCAGCGAAAGCGGCGAAGGGACGGGCCGAGGAGGCAAGGATGCAAGGGTACCCTTGGGAAGGTTGCCCATCCTTACTATGCGGGTTGACTGCATCGTCAGCTCTAACGTGCCTGCTGCCTGAATGGTCAGCCCCGGGGAGCATGAAGAGCGCGGCGCCCGGCGACAACCTCTCTAGGAGAGCGGGGCGTCGCAGGCGGAGTCGCACTGGTGCGGCCCATTGAGGCAGGCAGGGGGGCGTCTCTTTTGAACAACGCTATGCTTTTCGCGGGCATTCAAGGCCTCGCCAGAGCGTGGTGGACCTTGGCAGCGCTGCGGCCCACCATGCGGCGGGTGACGTTTCCACAGCCCAGGACTCGCACATCCCCAGGGGTTGCCTTGGGGATGCCTGTGAGGCGCGCCGCCGTCAGGGCGGCTAGCGCCTCGGAAGGGAGGTCGCCGATGGCCAGGCGTGCCAGCGTGTTGGCCCGGGGTCGACCGCCTCCAACGGTTCAGACAAAGTCCCACTGGTGGTTCCTCAGCAGCGTCGTCAGGCGGCGGAGCGGGAGACGCGTCAGCGCCGGCTTGTGGTCCTTCGACTCCCTCAGGTGTCCCCGACGTCAGCGACGTAGCCGGCGACGGAGCAGGTCCATCTCTCGGCACGACAAAACTGATCATACCCAGTGGCAGAGGTGGCAGCGCGAGAAGAAAGAGGAATAACCTAACTGTCCTTCAGCCAGACGCTCGGCTACAGGCGGCGCGGGCGGCCCTGGTGGAGGCAGCGGAGGCGGACCTCCCATCCACCCAGTCTTGAGTCGGGCGTGTCACTCTACATGAGAATACTTGTTTCACAAACAAACAAAGCATGGTCACGATTTTTCTATCATGTTTGATATTTGTTTGATTTTTGTTGACTATGTTGCATTTGTCCTCCGAACTCCGCCTGTAGGAGGACATGCCCGACCTGAACCCAGTCGTGGTCGGCGGCGGCGCCGGCCACGGAGGCGGAGCAGGCCAACGCGGCGCCGGCGCCGGCGCCGGCGGAGCGCCGCCACTTCCCGCCCAGTACATGGAGGGGCGCGGCTCCTCGCCCTCGCAAGTCAGGAGGGGAAAAAACACACAGACACAATTATTCGTCGATCCCCCAGAAAATATAGGAAAATATGGGAAGTGGGGGGGAAGACAAAAACCCAGAAAATATGGGAAAGTATAGGGAATCCTTTTATTTGTGTGTATTTATTTGTGTGTCCCAGGGCCCCTTCAGCAAGGGAGCACGCTGGGCCCGAGCCGTGAGCGTGCGCGGGGCAGGTGCCACACGGCTGCGGCTACGGCTCGGGCCCTCAAAGGGCGGAGGGCCAGGAAGGAAGAGGAAGAGGGACATCGTAGGAGGAAAAGGTGCCCTTACCTATGCCCTTCGCCCGTTTTCCCCTTTGTGGGGCTCCTGGGAGACCCTCGTCGCCACCGCTGGAGTCGCATCGAAATTCTGGTCGGTTCGCACCCCGGAGAGGTTCAGGGAGTAGCGGTATAGGTACCTTTTGGCTTCCCCAGAGTGTGAGGAGGAGGCGCATGATTGTACGGAGTCGGATGATTGCGTCCCCGCCCTCCTTGCTTTGCTCCTCCTCTTCCCTCCCTCCCTCCCTCCCTTCATCACCCCCCCGCCTCCGCCATATTGCCCTCCTTCTCCCTTTTGTTCGTCCCCCTCTCCTCCCTCGCCCCTCTCATCCTCCTCCATCCTCTCCTCCACCCCTAGCACCTCCTCTTGCTCCCCTCTCTCCTCTTATTCCCTCTGCCTCTTGGCTTGTGTGGCTGTCCCTCGGCCCGCACGCCGTGCGAGGCACGTGATGCTACCAAAGGCGGTCGCGAAGGACATGTACAAGCTAACCAACGGCGCCATCTCCTCCACCCCTCCCTCCACCCTCCCCCATCCTCTCTCTCCACCCTCCTCCTCCCCTCCACTCTCCCTCCCTCCACCCTCCTTCTCCCCTTCCCTCCCTCCTCTCCCCCCCCATCCCTCCCTTCCGCCGCCGTCCCCCCCGTGTTCTGCCCAGCCCCCGGTTCCTGCGGACATCATTCCGGATCCACCGCTTCGTGTTCTCCTATCAGGCTCCTTGGCCCAACGAGTCCCGCCACCCGTTTCCCGTCCGCCATCCCAGTTCGCACACTTCTCCTCAGTTTTATGCGCGTCCTCCCCTTCCCTCCCCTTTCCCATCCCCCTGCTTCGCAGATTGCTGGAACCATGTGGGTAACCATGACCAGAACTTGCACGGCAAGGGGGAATAGTGGTCGTTCTGGTCTAGGGGTGCACGAGCCGCTGAGTGATCTAACAGCCGCGAAGCGAGTCAGCTCGCAAATCCTTCGCACGCCCCCCACGCACCTCTGCCTCTGCTTGAGAAGTGCTCGGTCCCTATTCTCGCTTGCTACTTTCTCCTCCGCCACCGACGCACATAGGTGTTCATCTCGCAGTGCTGGTTCTCATCTTCCTTTCGAAGGTTTTCTGCGCCTTGTCGCGAGCGTTCTGGAGGCGTCGGAATCGTCCCGAACGGCCGCATGAGGCTCGAGCTATGGCCCGAACACCAATGGAAGCTGGAACCTCAGCTGGACCTGGATCCGGAAGGAAACAGCACCAGGAGCAGTCGGGGCTCAAGAGACGGGGGTCAATGCGAACGGGGGTCGGCCAAACGGGCGCACTGACCCGGGTTGGGGTGCAGGATCCTGCAGGATGCTGCAAGGCCCGGCTGACCCGGGTCTGCATGAACCCGGGTCAGTGCGTCCCCGAAGCGGGACCGAGGCCCCAGAGAGGGCCCGAGCCAGATGCAGAGCCGGAGCCTGGGTGGGTGGCGGGTGCGGCGGGTGCGGAGCCGGCTGCTGGCCAGCGGCGTGACCCAGCTCGAGGCCGGCAGCAGGTCGGAGTTGGGAGGGCGCTCGGAGCTGGCGGCGCCACACCTGGAGCCAGGGCTTCGGCCAGCTGCGGCATTCGCATCACAATTTGAACCGATGCGGCGTGCTTCGCGCAGTGGCGGGGCAGGCAGGGGCGGCATGCTGGGTGGAGCCCCGCCGTCTTGGAAAGACGCGCGTCGGCCATGGGGGGGGCAGCCAGAGGTCGGTCGTGATGGGGCCCAATGGCTTGGGAGAAGCGTGTGCTATGTTCGGTCATGCGGCGAGATGCTGAACCCAGTTTGATACTCGGACGTGCTTGGTGGCAGGTGTACATGAGGGTGAAGAGCGTGCCACGTGCGCGATCTCGAGCACTATCTTGTTCGGGGCGTCGTCGCCGTTGCGTCGTCGGTGCGTCGGGGAGATGCGGTGTGACGTAGGGCCCCGCTAGAACGCAATTTGAACACAGCGTGAGCACATTGTTCTTCATCCCGTCGTCGCCGCTGCGACTTCAATGCGTTTGCGGTGCGGTGTGACCCAGGGGCCCCGTCTTACTTGGGCCCCGTTTGAACATGATCATCTGCATGTCGACGTCACCATCGTATCTTCGGTGCGACGGCGGGCGGTGTGACCTCGGGGCCTCATTCTTTCATTAGGGCCCCGTAATCGTGATGTTTTCGTCTTCCCGACGTCGCCGCTACGTTTTCGATGCGTCGGTGGCGCGGTATGACCTAGGGGCTTCATTTTCTCGAGCCCCGCTTCTACACACTGCTTTCTTCGTCCTGGCGTCGCCGCTCCTTGTTTTCATCCAGACGACGCCGTCGGGTCGTCGGCGGGCGGTGTGACATGGGGGCCTCCTCTGCTCGGGCCCTGTTTTTTTACGCTGTTCTCTTCATCCCAGCGTCTCCGCTGCGTCGTCGCTGCTGTGTCACCTTGGGCCCCATTCTACTCCGACCCTCCTGTCTCAGGCCCCACTCGGATCCGCAGAAGGCATCGGCAGATGCCAAGTCCATGCGGAGTAAGTCCACACGGAGTGCTCGGTCTCCATCTGGACTGACTCCGTCTGGACTTGACTCCTCCTGATCGGAGGCTACGTCCATATCGAGCAGGCCCATACGGAGTGCTCGGTCTCCGTCTGGGCTTACTCCGTTTGGACTCCGCCTCTCCCGAAACGTTTCTTCCCCGAGCGTCCCGCCCTCCACGGGGGGAAGCCCGGGGAAGCAGCTGCCGAGCTCCGTCCGGAGCAGTCGTCGGGAATCAGAGGCCCGGCCAACTTCTGCCGACGGCACTCGGGGCACAATCGGGCCGGACGAAAGGGGGGATATTGGGAAGGGGGGGGGTACGAAATTTGCTGCATGCAGCTGGTTTCGGCCTCACCGAGGGACCCATTCCTCGATACGTAGTCGCCTCCGACGCCGGGAGGCGCCGGGAGAGTCAGCTACGTGAGCTGATTCTCAACC